CATCCCATAATGTCTTGGTTAAAACAATAGAATAGGCGACTAAGAGATCACGTGATCAAATCCGCCATTGTGGCTGGAATCCTACAGGATTTTTGGTATGCGATAAGGTTAAAAAAGATGGCGGATTCGGGTAGTTTTTTGGTGATAAAAGGTAAGCGATAAATAACTACGATAAAATAAATAAATAACGATAAAAATCCCCTTTTCTTGCAAAAAATATATTGTTAGTAGATATCTAAAATATATTTTTGCTATTAACTCTACCAGAAGAGGGAAAAACTTGGTATTTTTTTGCGCTACGATGTGATGAGCTACGAAGTATTTAGTCTCGTTTCGCCGGCTACATGACCTCAAAACATAACATATTTTTTCTATTCCTGGCCGAAATGAAAAGCAAAAATCTACTTAAGGTATCTATTAAAAGTATATTTCTTGCAAGAAAAATGAATTTTTCAAGAATGAAGTTGAAAAATACTTTAATTTTTTCGACAAAAAGTCGTTTTGAGGTCATAACGTCGGCAAAACCAAACTAAACACTTCGTAGGTCTTCACATCTAGCGCAAAAAACTTCATATTTTATCTCTTATTGGCGAGTTAATAGCAAAAATCTACTTTAGATATCTACTAAGAATATATTTCTTGCAAGAAAAGGGGATTTTTATCGTTATTGAGTGCGCTAACTTACTTTTTATCACCAAAAAAACTACCCGAAACCGCCATCTTTTTTTAACTTCTCGCATGCCTAAAATCCTGTAGAATGCCAGCCACAATGGCGGATTTGATCACGTGACCTCTTAGTGCAAGTCGCCTATTTCATGATGGCGGCCTTACAAAGGTCTTTTAAAAGCCAACGTCTATTGTTATTCCACGCAATATCCATTCATCCTAATAATGCTTWAAAAAACAATAGTAGCTTACATATACGTAGTGTTTCGTGGAAGCTTCTCTGGTAAAGCGTCCAGTCCTTTACACGTTACTTTAGTATACGGCCCAATCTGCTCACAACTACACTTCCCTACTCTGGGTCGTGGACAAGAAGCATCGTTTTGTAGCTTGGGTTGCCTGTCAGCGATCATTGGCTTCATTAAAAGAAGTAGCAGAATGACACAATGCTTAGTGTCGTAAGGCATTCTTTATCGACAATAACTAAACAAGTCTTGGAAATCGTTGCCAACAAAGTCGACCTGAGATAGTCGAAATAATAAAATAAAAAACTGAAGGAGCTTAATGTTTTTAAGAAGCTCGGGTGGCGTGCGCTGTTAATGCGCCGCCTCTCACTAATGCGACCAGGGTTCGAGCTCTGCCAGGCTCGGTGTCGTATGTGAGTAGAGTTGTTTGTTGGTTCTCTCCTGTGCTTAGAGGGTTTTCCTCCTTCCACAAAAATCAACTTCTAAATTCTAATTCGTTCTACCGGCTGCCATGTCAATTGGATCGCAAGGCCTGTTAGCATTAAGCCGTCCACCCAGGAGTGTTAAACGCAATAGACTTAGACTAAAATAGCATGCTATATATAGCTTAGTATATAGGTGATTATGCAGGGTGCGACAAGATTGGCAGGAGTTTTAAATTTCACATTCACTTTCTAACCATTAGCTGCGTTGGTCGACTTGCTATCTGATATACCAGTATTTTGAAGTTTGTTTGAGTGGTCATAGGATATAAAAAGTATTTATGAAAAAATCTTACGAAAGAGTGCCTATAGCTAGTTGACTCGGTTCCTTTGTCAGTATTTTACTGGCTGTGTAGCGGGGCCGAAAAGAATGAAAGCTTGGCCGTTATTTCAAGTCGATGGATGACTTTGAGCCAAGCTTCAATAACTGCAGAGTACAGTAACTTAGTAAATAGTGTCAAAATTTARCCAAGAATCTAGAGCCTTGCTCCACAGCTTGAGCTCAGCTTGTAAATCCGACTTTCAAACTCGCCGTTGAAACTTGCTTGATTAAWAATTTACCTTACATTAGCAGTATTAGATACAACAATACATATGCTGAAATGTGCCAGAGATACATGACATTTCGTTCTTGTGGTCTTCGTTAAAAATTCTCTTGGTGATTGTTACAAGCTGATAGAATGGTGCCATGCAGCTTTTCTGCTTAATTCCAGTTCTGGTTTTGGTGCTTTAAGTCACATTTCTTTATAATCCAACCAGAAAACATGAATGTAATATTCGCCCCAAGGCATTTGCTCCTTGGAAGAAACGAAAAGTGGCATTACTGAAACGACATAAAGCTGAGGAAAAAAAGAAACAAACAAACAATAGGGGGCAAAAATAAAGCCTGTTTTCGAGTGAATATGTTAAAATCTTTCAAACATGACCACGTTTTGGTGCATTTCACTTTAGCTTTTACAAACCTTCTCATTATCAAGGTCAAATATTTTTTTCATTTCAAGGGCGTAGCCAGGATTTTCTGAGAAATTAAATTTAAAAAATCCGACCTTTCGATTTACGTTTTATCTCAACAAGAATCAAATACATATAAACCAGCATTATATTTTACGTTTTATTATTTTAAAAAAATTACCGCATTAAATCTAAAAGGCAGCGATTTTCAACAATGCTGGGGCCTCTGCCTGTGAGCAGTTTACTGACACGTATTCCACATGTTTTTGTTTCTCCTTATTTTCTCTCTCTGTATTGCTATAATTTCTGTCTATATGATACGACATTTCACCTGTACGTCCCCGCGCAAAAATAAGTACCCAACCCCCCACTCACAATGTAAAGAGCGCTGTAATATCACTAGATCCATAAAGAATACCGTAAAGACAGTCGTTCGTATTCTGTCTCAAAACAAATACGTGAAAATTTAATCTAACAAGCTGGAGAAGAATTAAAGAGGAGAATTGCTTGAAGTTTTTGTACAAAAAGGCGGGGATCATTAAGCGTGCTGTTCATTACTGTCTTTTTTTTAATGCTTTTGTATATCTATTTCTATTTACTTCTTGAAATTAAATAGTTTACAGAAAAATAAATGCATGAGAATAAATGCATCCTATAAAAAATAATTTGAAAATAATAAAATAAACAAAAAATAACCTGGATCAACGCGTCTGTGTGATTTTCATGAAAAGCGTGACTCAGCGTTACATAGCTAGTGTCGTGACAAGCTGTCATTTTGGCACCTTTGTCATCAACATAGCCATGTGTGTCGGCCCGAACGAGAAAGTCAAGGCGAAAGCTCCAAGAAACAAGAACATTTTCGCTTTAAAACTATCAGGAAACAAAACTAGAGGTAAAGTAAGTCAGCCTTACAGGAAAGACGATGTTCAGAAATGTTTAGTAAGTGATATTTTTGTTCTTTAAGTTTGAAATCTAACTGGTATCTGGGGTTGACTTCGACCCAGCTAACTGTTACTGCCTTATTCTTTGGATCTGTTTGTATCAGAAAATACGTTTGCTCAATGAATCTTCCTTCCTATATTCAAAAGAGGTCGAACTATAGGTTTTAAAAAAGTATTTCATTTACATGCACAAGTTAAAGTTCGTATTTTTTCTTCAAACTYAAATTATTCTCGTCAAGAACACAGCACAGATGTTAGTGCACAGGTAGCCCAAGCTCAGAGTTAGATTTCGAAGGCTTCAAAATAGGCTTACAGAAAAGCTCATTTTGTCGACAAATATGTCATAAATGTTATAGTTTGATAGTTGAGGAACACTTTGCYGCCAAGATTTGAGTCAGAAATTGTTTTTTGTGGGGTAGTTGTGCTGCCTGTTCGAAAATCTGCCTTCCCTGCATAGTGTCATAGTAGCGACCTTTAGATACGACGACGAGTGCGAGATCGAGTACGAGTTTTAAAATTGGT